TTTATTTATTCTGTTTCCACCATAAGGTTACTCAGCCACTATTAGGCCAGAAAACATCTTCGCCCGACTCTCGCCCATCTCCTTCCTCATACGAGTTTGGGTAACAAATATACACACACACAAAAAAAAAGGTGAGAATCATCCGCAGTGGATCCCTTTATCCTCATCCTTCAACCCGAATGATTGGGCAGTAGCCCGTCCCCAAAAGTGGATCCTCCCTCCCATAGAAACCCGAAAGTGCCATCGGCGCCGAGTCGGCCTCTCGGTGGATACCCATTCATCGGTAAATCCGGTGGCCGGCTTCTAGCCAGACAGATGGACGAAAAAAAAAAAAAAGCTGGGGCAGCTTTTGGTTATGGGCAATTAGAGGTGACATCTTTTGCGCGTTGGCCGTTACGTGGTGTGGTGTAATGCTGCCGTTGTGCCGCGCGCCGAGTGCCTGTTGTCTGCTGGTCTTGTTGTCTTGTGCCTAGGCTGGGTTCGTCCTTCGTGGGGACTAATGTGGGTTTGTTTCATCCTGGACGGGTTGTCCCTGTGATGCTTTTTGAAGCGAGGCCGAGTGAGAACCCAAGAGCCGACAGACAAGCGGGTCTTAGAACCCCACTGACTGTTGGCATTGGAATGTGTCTGTTTTTTTTTTTTTTTCTTTCTCTTTTCTCTTATTCAGATAATCTGAGATGATGCAAGAGTTGAAGAAAAAAAAAAAAACAGTGACGAAAAAGAGCCCAAAACACAAGCCCGGATGCCGATCGGCATGCCGAAGCGGGGCAAGGAACATTGGAGGACAAGACGGCTCCCGCCGACCATGTCTTCTTCCCTTCCGCAGAGCTTAGTGTTAAACTCAAATGCTGGGATCGCCGGCCTTTTTTGCTGATCCTGGGTGGTCAAGGAGGTCGAGGCCAGTCTCGCCGTCGCCCTTTTCTCCTGAAGAGCAACAGAGTCAGACACAACCGTTGCCGGTCCCCTAGGCTGAGTAAGAACAAAGTCATACTCGCCCATGAGTCGCGGCCCTTTTTTGGTTTGGCCTTTGCCTTTGAGGCTCTGAACAGCTCCGCATGCGTCCCTGGTCATGTGGCGTGGACTGGATGTTCTAGTCCGTCATGCCTGTGTTGTGTGTGGGTGGGTGGCCACCCTATGGCATCATGGTGCAGGCTGCTGCCGCATCTTCGATGATAGTGATGTTCATAATGCTGAGTATGTTCGATTTGGTTGCTGAGAATATTGTCATTGTTGCCGTAATTGTTGTTGTCCGAGGGTATATATCCCATCACCTATCCCAGGTCATGGTGATTCACTTCATTTGTAGCCGACCATCTTGGCGCAGCGTTCGCAGTAGTACAGGTTGTGTGCGATGCGGACCATGCCCGTTGAGCTGGAGTCGTCGGTGGAGGTTGCCTCAACTGACCTCGCGCAGCGAAGGCAGCGGAGGACCTCGACGGAGGCAATCGGTCTTGCGACGGAGTCCATGCTTTGTCTGTATGATGAAGAGGCGGAAGAGAGGTCGGAGTCGGACGAGGAAGAAGAGCTGTAGTGAATCTTGGAAGGTCGTGAGCTCGACGGCATATTGTTGTTGTGAATGTGTATGTCGATAGTATCCGTTGTTGGTTGAAAGGGTATTGGCACTTTACTATGCCAACCTTGGTTGAATGTTGTTGTAAGTTGAAGTTGGCTTGGTGTCAAAAGTTCAAGAGATGGGTGGGAAGGCGAGGCCAGTATAAGTGTCTGTGGGATGGCTTGATGATATATAGCAGACAGTAGCCTTGGTGGGATAAGAGCGAGTGCACAAGCCCAAGAAGGGGGGGGGGGGTGTGTATGGACGGACAGGGGGAGGGTAGTTTAAAGAAAAAGGAAGGGAAGAAAAAAAAGGAGTGAAAAAAATAAAAAAGGCCGCCAGGGGTGAAGTGTCTAGTCCGTCAGGGTGTGCGTGTGCTCTAGGGGTGCTCTAGGGGGGCGTGTGTGATCGATCAAAGACCAGACGGTGATGAGAGACGAGCGTAATAATGTAAAATGTGCAAACAACACTAAGTCTGGGAAAGTCGGCAGCTATGAGCGGAAAAGCGATAAACGGTCGCTCAGTCACCTCCGTATTCGTCAGTGGTTTTGTGCAAGCCTCTTATGCTTGGAGGCAGGCAGTGGATGGTGTAGGACAAGGATGCGTGGTCTTTCTTCGTTGCTGTCCAGCCCAGCCAGCCCAGCTTCAGTCAGAAGACAACAGACAGGGAACCGGGGTATGGTACAACGTCAGGCACAAGACTGCGCAAGAGCAGAAGCCAAGCCCAGCCAAGCCGAGGGAGGGTGAAGGGGGTGGGGAGAGGGAAGGGGGGTTCCCTTTGGAATCGGGGCGTGTATGAGAGGAGAGAGGAGAGAGAGAGAGAGAAAGAGAGGGAGTTGTGCAGACGGTTCTGCTTTGCGAGATGGTGTGAGTGGAGAAAGACAGAACAGTCCAGCCCCAAAAAGCAGACGGTCAATGTGGGAGAGACGGTCGAGCCCGAATATGGAGACGGTGGGTGGTTCTTTACGGAGTGTGCGTCCGTAAGGTTGCTATGGGTTAAAGTTCCTGGGGTGGCCTGCGAGTTAGCCCCATGGTGCATATATTACGGGAGATTCGCTCCACGCATATGCAAGAAATGAAGGGGTGTGTGGGAAAATGGATGCATAAAAGTGGAATTCATCATACCGAGTGATATCGCTCTAACGCGGTGCCTAGAAGTAAAAGAAAGGGGGCGTGTGCAGCTTGGCAGCAGCAAAGCCGAGATGGCAGTGTAGAACGGGAACAACGGACGGCTGGTGTTGGTTGGTTGGGCAGATATCGACGCGTCGGCCCCAAGAGTCTTAGTCTAGATATTCGTAGTCTAGCCTTGGGCGGTGCAGGATTTACTAGTACCAGCAGACGACTGTAGGTAATTGTAAGGTAATCTCTCTGGCAGAGTAGAGTTTTGTTGGGTACGGATGGATTTGAGGCCTGCTCTCTTTGCACTTTCGCTTCGTTCTGAGGCCTGCTCGCTTCCGCACTGCGCGAGCCTATCGTATTTTCGGTGGGATGTTTTGCGAGATGAGGTGTTCTGGACTCTGTCCTTGCTGTGATCTCTGCTTCAAGCAAATTCTCGGTATCTCTTTCCAGCCAGTGGGGATGAAATGGTAGCAACGAGCCAGTCGCGGATCGAATAGATGGTTAGAGGCGAAGGTTTGATGTTGGTCACCAAAGAAGACGTTCACCACGGCATATGGATGAAGAGTGGGAAGAAGAGGGGGGGGGGGGACATTGGGGACTTTTAATACACATGAACGATTTTCAGGGTCCAAACATGAATAATATGATCAATCAGACTTCTCGACGTACTCTGCTCCTCTTTTCCCATGTTTCCCACGTCCGTCCACATTTAGTCGATCCCATGGGAGGTTCAACCATCGCCGATGCCCAGGGGGGGACCCAAGACACTATAGACAGGTCATCAGTCCGAGACGCTGGTAAAGAGTGGCTTGATTGCGCATCTCGATTACAGGATCACTGGGGGCCGCCGCGAGGCCGCGGGGGGAAACCAACTAGCACTTTAGCAAGGAAAACGCAAAACGGCGGAGCTTGGTTCATGAAGCTGTAGCGCCGGCTGTCAAATCATACCCGCTCCCCGTTCCCCGTCCCATCCCCTCCTTCTTCTTCATCGTTTTCGGAGCTCATTCTCATTCATCGAAGAAACTCTGAGTTACCACTAAAAAGCGATATTGATGCCTGCGCCCGCCATCTCTACGTGGAATGTAGTCGTCTCATAAGGCGCCCACGCGGGGTGTGGGTTCCTGATGGTGTGGGAAGCAAGGGGATCAAGCACACAGGTAGATGATAAAGCTGATGAATTGGAGACATGTGCAGAAAAAAAGGGCACAAGGAGGTCAGGTTTCATGTTTCCCTACGCCGCAAAAATACTTATCATACATACCATGGCTAATTCCAGTCGTTCCTGGGGTGGGAATGATGGATCCCGGGCATGATCAGCTGAGCTGAGCTGCCTACGTTCACAAGCAAATCATTTTGAATGGTCACAATCCGTGATAAGACATACAAACGCGCACATACACACGTACACGCATACACACACCCACATTCTAACATTGCTTAGAAGAGCTTTGGAGATGCATCAAGGAGGGCGCAAGGAGATGAAGCCAGAAAGTCCCCAAAGACGGGGACCACCCCGGATCGTCGACGGATCCCCAAAGGCGGCTACCGTTTCGCTGCTCTGGGGCCCTTTGCAATCCTTTGATCAGAAATTGTCTGCGTACGATAGGGCATTACGGGGGACCCGGCCGGTCTGAGATTGATCGTCCACTATTATTTCAGTCGTGATAATACGCTCCCTCAGAAAGATGGGAAACTTTTCGTCAGGATAGATTAGGGGGATCCGTAAGCCGCAAGGGACGCGCCCGCACGCACCACACGGCCCCCAAACGTCCCAAGGTGGACTCTTTTTTTCTCTCTCTCTTCCAAACCGTGGCGTGGGGAACAGACAACCTGGCATCCACTTGTGTGTGTACTGTACTGCGTGCTGCGTGCGCGGGAACGACTTCAAAACGTTGAAATGGAGGGAGGGGAGGCCTTGGGACGGAACGGAGGGCCCGAACCACGCAGCCACCCATTCACATCAGAATTACAGGCGGCTGCCGCAAACTGCCGTTGTAGGGATCCCGACGTCTTCGGTGAAAGGAAACGTCGGCCCCCTAGAGCGCCAGTCCTACACTATGTGTGACTCTTTTGCCCATGCTGGATATCAAACTGGGAGCATCCCTACGGAGTTATGGTTTGACAGTGCTGCTGCGGACGAGCAAAATAAAATAGAGGGTTGCGCCACATATGTGCCTCGCCATAAGGCCTTAATATTCCTTACTATAACCCTACCGCATCCTTCCCTACCCCCCTCCCTCCCCCCCCTCATCCCGAAGGCTATGCAAACGGTAGGATGGAGGGCTATTTTGCGCAGTTCGGGGTCTTCTAAGCTGCCCATGGTGTCGTGCTATGGACTCCATATCCCGGCTTCCCGGGGAGGAGACGCTCCCCTCGGCGAACCGACGGCACCCATCGCTGTCGTGCGTCGGGGTCCCGGGGTCGGAGAATTTGTTTGGTCTATACAGGCAGTGTTGTCTCTGGTAGATTCGAACCGGGGGACTGACGGGCCAACAAGAGGACTGTGGCCCTTTCCCAAGAGCATAACCAACACCAAAGATAGGTCGGTAGAGCAGGCAGAAAGCAACCTCGAGGGAGCATGGGCCAGTTTCTTTTTTGTCTTTCGCAATCAATCTGCGCTCGCTTCGATGCTATTTTCTGCTTCGAAATGTTTGTTTCTGATGCTATTTCCTCACCCACATTTCATGCCATTGACACATGGAAATAGACAGGCTGTTTTTATAGGGCTGAGATCAATCTACTTGTGATGGGGTACTCAGTAAGTGGAAACGCGGTGGCTCGTCTGCTTGAGGCAAACATCACACATTCCGAGTCTTGGGGTTCTTGGGTCCGGCTATACTACGCACTTATTCGATCCATCGTGAAGGGTAACACGACGTTTGATAAGATTTCGCCAAGGTGACTCGGGCAGAGTAAAGAGAAAAAAAAAAAAAAAAACTATGAGGGCGTGCACCAAAATCATGCTCGAACCCTAAAAACGGCAACTCTAACATGGCCAAGAGCTTAACTTGAATAGCATCTAGACCTCCATGGCGTTCCTGGGCAGACAAACAGAACCTTTTCTTGTCAGCAGACCTGTCAGGAAGAAGAAGAAGGGAGAAAACGAAAAAAAAAAAAAGGCAAACTGACTTTTCCCTCCCCTCATTGGCAAAAGCCATCGGAAGTGAGAGTAAACCGTGCAGTTGCATCCGTCACACGACCACGGACTCGGACAAGGCAATTTGCGATCTCGACCTTTTCCCCTCTCTTAGCGTTCACGTTTCCCATCCTAACATTCCGCCATGGCATTCTGCTGATTTCCAATCAAGCCGCTCAAACTCCGAGCCCCCTTTCAATTCCCGCTTCGCCCTTTACAAAGCATCGTGGACATCTCCTGACAGCAAACTCTAACGTCTCACCCCCCTCTTCTTCTAGCATCCCTTCCTCGGCTTTCCTTTCTTTGTCCGCCGTCTTTGTCGACCTTTGGTTAAGGTTGGACTTGACCGCGGCTTTGCCAGTTTGCTGACGAATCACTAAGGCCGGTAAGGACTGCAGAGGGACCAGCCATCCGTGCGTAAGGATTACACAGTCTATCAACATACACACTATACAAACTTGCGACAAAAGTCCCCCAAAGAGATCAAGCCACAATGTACGATGGTTGGTCAATGCAAAGGTGCTGCCTCGGCGTCTCTTTTTGACTCATTTTCTCGAAACCCTCCTCGTTCCTTTCCTCTTAAAGTCTTGCTTTAGCTCGGCGGCCTGCCAATAAATGCATGCTGCAGCTCTGTCTCAACCACACCACCGTTTATGCAATTAACCTAGATCAAATAAGTGGCTCGGGATCCATGAGACGTTTATACGGCGACACCGGCTGTTACGGAGTCAACCACATGGTTGACGGGGTCACTGAGAGACCAAAAACTGCACAGAAACGGTATAGCGTCTGATGACTCCCCCAAAGTCTCGATCTTTGGGTTGCGCGCTGTGACTCCGCCTGGGGTCGATCTTCCACACGTTTTTCGATGTTCGATTCAGGGTCCCGTTTCTTCAGCCGGAGCGTTTCTAAAATGTCTGATGGTGTGTGGCTTGCGTGCCTGAGTGGATGACCGTAATGAGTGATCTTCCCACCGTCCCGATTTTTCACAATGGTACGGAGCACTCCGCACACCACCTGCATTTCTAGCTGGCTGGTGTCTTCTCTTAACCCCCTTCTTTAGCCTGCAACTGTCTGTCAGCGCCTCCGCCGTAGGGCAGAGCCTAACTAGCAGTGTAGACGGAGCAGTGGCGTACACCGTGCTCCGCGGTCCGTCTGGTTCGGAGTACAACTCCCTTGGTGTCCTGCCATCCATTCATCCCCTCCCCCAAAAGCTCAGCCGACCTCCACCACCACCACCACCACCACATCGCAATGCTATCGAGAAGGAGCACTTCCCCGGAGCCGAGCATTCTCTAGCTCTGTTGCACGAGCTAACAAAGTTAGGCACCACTTGCGCGATGCTGCTTCTGGGAAGAATGCGTTGGAGGGTGTCAAACAAAATGGCGAACTCGGCATCGTTCAAAAGCGTCTTCATCGGCCTTCTCGCATGGCATCGTTGTGTTGGACGCGGGAATAATCACGCGGGCGATGTTACTTTACAATTACTTCTCAAAAGCGCCCTCGTGCCATTAAGCCTCCCTGTGTGCCCATCTGTCAGTCCGTCCGTCCGTCCGTTCGTTCCGTTATGACTGTTACTCACCAAACACAATCTAAACGAAAGACATGAGAAAGTAGAGTGCGCGCGATACCACGTATCGGCATCTAATCAAACACCCCTCTCCCCGTCGCCGGAGGCAGACGTGAAAAAAAAAAAAAAGGGTTACCCCAAACAGAAATGCCATGCAGACCGCGCAAGCCCCCTCGAGATTTGATGTGTACTCGTATCAAACCCTTGCCATGCAACCTGCCGAATCTCCAGTATTCCAACCACCAGAAAAGCGCCCGTGGCTGTGGCTGCAGCAGCCTGAGCCCGCCGAGCCCCTCCCCTTGTTGCGCGTACACTGTAATCTGTACTGGTTGCTAATGTATGTGTGAGCTCGCCTAGCGTCCTCAATCCCAAGTTGCTGATGTGGACATGATGTGACACCATACAAAAGGCCCTGCAACGGAATATCCGTGGAGCAGGCTGCAGACTTGCGCGAAATGTTTCCCTCCAATATAGCACCATCTGCGCCTATCAAACAGTCATCCCGTCAGCTATACAGCTGGGCTTCTTGTCAGCGTTCGCAGGACCCTGTCTCGCCTCTACTAAGCGGCAGTTATGAGCGGCCAGCATACAAAACGTATGTATAGACGGACGTCTGGGACTGATTTGCTCAACCCCGTTCTTCCCAGTCATCACTAATTAATTGCCGGGTGATGGTGTACGACAAAGTACTACAACGGAAAGGTTGGGATGTTTATCTCCTGATGCGCCGAGCTTCTTATCTCCCCCCTCCACCCCCCCCCCCCCAGGTTCGCGCCCGGATGCCCCGTTCAGGGCGAGATTCCGATTCCCCCATAAGTCCGCCCGCGCCGAGGACGCCGTTTCCTCCGTGTAGATTGTAGAGTGTGTGTTTTTTTTTTTTTTTTTTTTTTTTGCTGCGGCCCCGAACTTCCTCATCCTCCTTCGCATCCAAAGTCTCGCATTCGGTCCGCACAAGGACTCTAGGCATAACCCCGCGTACCTCCACATCCTTCTAACAAACACTACCATAAGTTTACAAAAGACATTAAGCAATCCACACGCCCACACCCCTCCCGGGGGAGGCTTTGGGCTTGGACCCCCGTTAGTGTCGTCTCATGCCCAGCCTGCGGAGCGCTCTACGGAGAGGTAACACTGACACAGCTTTGGGATAACATATCCAATCATCGAGGGGGATCGATGATCAAACTCGGCCACCGTCTACAGACTCCCTCTTCCATTAGGAAGGACCCTTGCGGGAATTTTAACGCAGTATTCAACCATCAGGTAATCAGTGTCAGAGCTCGCGTGAGTGTGTCAAATTGGTCATTTATCTAAGCGACTGCTAGGCTACTACATATTGCTCTTAGTCTAAAGAATACGCGAAAGACGCTACCGCGCGCAGCCAAGCAAAGTGGAATGGAAAGAATAGAGAGAGAGAGAGAGGGGTAAGACTTTCGGTGCCCATCGAGTTCCCCGTCCTGTATCGTGCAATTTTCCGAGGCATCGTGATCAGACGAAGAATTCCCATCCTGCAAGCGAACCGAACATCCCATTCTCTCACTCTCCCATCCAATTGCCCTTTTCTCGTTATCCCTCGGAAACCCAGACCGCTATACAAACCCCCTCTCTCTCTCATTTCCATCCCCTTAATTAGCTAACGACAATTGTCCGCCCTTTCCGGTTTTATTGGCTGAGTGGCTCTCTTAAACGATATGCTCGGTCTCTTCGCTCTTTTGCTTTGCTATGCCCGAATGGCGGACCGCGCAATAGCTCCATTCCCGTTCGCCACGAGGGGGGGAGTGGAAGCTCTTCTCCGTCGCTAGTATCGATGTGGGATGTCAATTGAGGGGCAGCACGCAATTGACCGCTAAGATAAACTAGTGTTCGGCATCACATCGTACATTTCCATCATCACCCTTTGAAACCCACAGACTGCGACAGTGTTGTGGACTGACGGGAAATGATGGACTTGAAGTATTCCCTCCATCGTTCCCCTCTGCACGCATCGAACAATTCCACAGGCCGAACAGTCCAATCGCACTGCGGCGATCGGCGGTATCAAGCCTTACCCGTTGTGCGCGCCCCATCGATCATCGGCTTTTCCATGCGCTCCCAGCAGCTAGGTAACTGTGGGGTTTTTCCTGTTTTCCTTTTTGTTCCAGCCATCGAACCGATTGTTGGCGATGGCCTTCCTGAACCGCTCATGATCGACTTTTGCAATGCGCGGCACGCATGATTAAGACGGTTAGAACAATATCCGCATCGTATCCACGAGCAGCGTGCGCAGCCCAAGTGGTAGACAGCTGACCGTCGCACCAACCGTCGATGAGACGCAGAGATGGCCGCCAAGGTCTGGTCTTCCTCTCGCTCTTGGTAGACTTACTTGGCTTGGCTCCGAGAGGAAACACACAAGGGCGGTTTGACGATATGCCAAGGAGTTGAGGCTTGGAAACATGGCGCTGAATGCGTTGCACAGCGCCAATGCCAACGTTCAGTCTGATATCGACTCATCCCTGACTCGACACGCACAACAACCTTCTACCAAGAGTTTTGGTTCGTTGTTGCCGCTATGCAGTACAACACCACACTCAAGCGGCCATGAAGATGTGCCAAGGGTCCTACTCTCTAGCTAGAGTTCATGGCCGTCTGCGCCTTGTCAAAGTCTGTTTCCCCGAGACAAGTCCTTTGATGGGACACGGGTGTAGCATTCGTACAGTTTACAGATTTTCGTTCGCGGGGCTGACTGCTTAATGGGGTAGGCCGGATACTCGTTTTCTTTTGCTTATTTCTTTTTTTTGTCCTTTTTTTTTTTTCTTTCCAGTTTTCTCATGTTCCAATC